TTTTTTTTTTTTTTTTTTTTTGTTGGAGGGCATAAAATTAGCGAAAGGAGCATCATTAGAATGCAACTTCTTCTCTTGGTGTTCCTAAGGAGCTTTTTAAGGACCTTTATGATATTTGAGGAGCCCTAATGTGGTGCTGTAGGATAAGCACCGGACTGCTAACTGCAAGGTCGACAGTTCAAACCCACCAGCCACTCCTCAGAAACCCTATACAGGTTCACTCTGAGTCAGAACTGACTCTATGGCTCTTAACAACAACTTCATTATTGTTCTGTGCTGTAGCTAATAGTGCATTTATACCTAGAATATGCTGTACTATACAATAAAGAATTATAAATTATACAAAAGGAAGAAATAGCAACTAGAATGAATAAGGAAATGGAATGATTTTTCTGTGAAGTTATACTGTAGCATAAACATATCATATTCATGTGACTGTTGTTAAGGCCATCAATTCGGTTCCGACTCACAGCAACCATGGATAAGGTTTCTGAGGAGCGGCCGGTGCGTTTGAACCACCAACCTTGTGATTAGCAGTCCAGAGCTTATGCTACAGCACCAGATCAGGACCATGCTCATAAATCTACTAAATGTGACAGCTTAAAATAGGAATGAGTCACAAAATTGGGGGATAAACTTATGAATAACCAAGATAACAAAAATGGCTAATATGAGGAGCTCTGTCAACTCTTTCACAAACTTTTCATCTGACCCTACAGTGGATTAGGAGCCTTGGTGGTACAAGGGTTAAGTGTTTGCTTGCTAAATGAGAGGTTGGCAGAATCTGCTACCATAGAGACTGTTGTTTGCCACTGAGTTAACTTCAACTCATAGGGAACTTACAGGACAGAGAAGAACTGCCCATAGAAGTTTCCCTAGGCTGCTATCTTTACAGAAACAGGTCATCAGGTTTTTTTCTCCTGCGGACTGCTGGAAGGTTCAAACCACAGACCTTTTGGCTAGCAGCTGAATGCTTAACGACTCCTTTCCCCAAAAAGGGCTCTTTTCTGGTAAAGATTTTAAAAACCAAACCAAAACTCACTGTAGTCAAGTCCATTCTGACTCATAGCGACGCTATAGGGCACAGAATTGCTACAGAGTATTTCTGTGACTGTGTAAATTTTTATGGGAGCAGACAGTATAGTCTTATTCCTATGGTGGGTTTCAGCCAAGAATATAGCAGTTAGGAGCCTAAGTCTTAACCTGCAGCACCATCACTGACTAGAAAACCCTAAAGGGCAGTTCTACTCTGTCACATGAGGTCTCCATGAGTTGAAATCGACTCAAAGGCAGCTAACAACAACAGCTATGTTACCATTTTTGTGCACAAGGAAAGAGATGTTGAGCAGACCAGATTGTAGCAAGAATTAGACCTTCAATCAAGGCAGTGTTGTAATTTCAATATTTCCATTTCTCAAGGGCAGGGAGAGACAGCACAGTGGCTCCATATGATAAGCAATGGACTATGAACTTCAAGGTTCGAGGTTTGAGCCATAAGCTACTCTGTGGGACAAAGATGAAACTTTCTGCTCCTGCAAAGAAAAAAGACTTGGAAACCCTATACAGAGTCGCCATGAATTGGAACCAACTCCGACAGCACTTCACAAACGAGAAAAAGTCTCAAAGACACTTTGTCAATCAACAGAGCACAGATTCCTTTTCCCTATCTCATCATCACACTTCCAAAACAACTCAAGCCTACCATTTTAAATGCCTCTGCCAAAGCTTAATTAAAATGTCCAAACAAATATCAAAATATACCAATCCAGTTTTTCTTAAGCTAAGATTTCTTTTCCTAAACTTTCACGCTTTTGCCTTAAACCCTCATTACCCAATTTTCGGAATCCTAGTGTGGAGCTGTAGGATAAACATTGCAAGGGTGGTGGTCCACACTACCAGCCACTCTTCAGAAACTCTAAAGGGTCGCTTTGAGTTGGAACAGACTCCACAGCCCTTTGACAGTTCCAACTCATAGCAACCTGGATAGGGTTTCCAAGGAGCAGCTAAAGGATACAGGTGCTAACGCGTTGAGGTTGGCTTAAACAAAAGACAGCCAGAAATTAAAGTTAAGAGAAATGTTGTCAATTCAAATCAACAAATGATTTTAAGAATCACAGTCTAATGTTTGATTTACTTTCCACCCCATGATTTAAAAAAGAAAGAATTCGGAGCTTAGTGGTGCATTTAAAATTTGAATGAAAAGTGCTTATAAACCATTTCAGGAAGTGCTGAAAAATGACATGGTCAAAAGATGGACAAGACCAAGGGGAAAGGAAAGAAATGAAACAATTTAAAAACAACCAGGCAGTCCCCCAGAGAGGTGACTATGAATACAAGTTTGCAGGATCTCATGTACAAACTTAAAGTAAGATGAGTATGTCATTTCCGCAGGCACTTCTCAGTATCCAACATAATACTAAAAGTATCCAACATAATATTAAATATTAAAAGAAGGTGTTAATGACATCTGGATAATGTCCTTATAAAGTGAAGGAAGGAAATAAAGTTTGGTTTTATTAAAAGCGCTTTGAATGCATGACATGAGGTCAAATTTCTTGTTTTCTATAATGCCACTTGTCCTTTCAATAAAAATCCCCATCATTTACGTATTTTATGTGAGCAACAACCCTACAACACCTCTGAAATCTATTGCTGTTGTTAAGTGTTGTCCAGTCGGGTCCAACTCATAGCAACCCTGAATAAAGTTTCCAAGTTGCAGCTGGTGGATTTGAAACACCAACCTTGTGGACAGCAGTCCAGTGCTTATTCTACAGGGCCACACAAGGACTCTATTGTTGCTGCTGTTAAGTGCCGTCGAGTCGGTCGGACCCATAGCGACCCTGTATACGGTTTCCCAGAAGCGGTTGGTGAGCTTGAACGCCTACTTTGCAGTTCAAACTGACTTTGCAGTTCAGCGCATTAACCCACAGCGCCACTCCAGGGCTGTCTTTGTTGTTGTTGCTGTGAATTACCATTGGGTCGGTTCCGACTCATAGTGACCCCTGTATGGGGTTTCCCAGGAGCGGCTGATAAACTTGAATCGCAGAGCTAGAGGTTCAAACCGACTTTGCAATCCAGCGCATTAACCCGCAACGCTACACCAGGACTCCAGGACACATTTGTTGTTAAGTGCCGCCGAGTCCGTTCTGATCCACAACGACCTTGAACAGTTTCCTAGGAGTGGCTGGTGAGCTTGAACCACCGACCTTGCGGTTCAAACCGACTTTGCAGTCCAGCGTATTAACCCACAATGCCACACCAAGCACTCCATTGTTGTTGTTGTCAAGTGCCGCCAAGTCCATTCCGAACCATAGCGACCCTGTATAGGGTTTCCAAGGAGCAGCTGGTGAGCTTGAACTGCCGACCTTGCAGTCAAACGGCTTTGCAGTCTGGTGCATTAACCCACAGCGCCACACCAGGACTCCAAGCACTCCACTGTTGTTGTTGTTAAGTGCCATCTAGTCGGTTCCGACCCATAGCGACCCTGTACAGGGTTTCCGAGGGTGTAAATCCTTACGGGAGTAGAAAGCCTCATCTTTCTCCCACGGAGCGGCTGGTAGTTTCGAACCGCTGACCTTAAGGTTCGCAGCCCGATTCGTAACCACTACGCTACCAGAGCTCCTTAAGCACTCCATTAGGCACCAATAAAAATGAAAATATTGTCGAAATAAGCAAAACAGAAAACTTTTACTTATATTTTAACAGAAAGCCTATAACTTTAACTGAAAAACCATTTTCACTCATCAAATATCACACCTCTCTGAAAATATTCCCTGAGAGTAATCCTCTTTGCCTTACAAGCTCTTCTCGCTAAAAATCCAAATGTACCAGAGGTTGCCAGAAACTCCATAAAACTTTTTCCGGACATCGCAATTTTCCCTGTCTTCAAAATATAGAACTTACCCTATTACTTGGAGAACCACATTACCCAAGCCACACCACAATTAACTTCACACACTATACACCTGAGACAACCTCCCCACCATCATGCCCATCATCCATCTCCCCTGAAAAAGTACTTCATAACGCCCCTAAAAGTTTCTAAGAAAGGCAGTCCAAAATGTACCTGAGACCAAAGATTCTGCGGGAAAACGCCAAAACTACTGCTTGCTTACTCTTAACCCTCATGACGACTCACCTTTTCAAAACCACCTGTCCGAACATCTACTACATCAGGTGTGCTTCATGCCCTTCCACACTCTGAAATCAAACACCTGACAACTCACCTACCGTCCGTTTCAAAACGATCTCAAGCAAGTCACCGCTCCTCCAAAGGGAAGTAACACTTGAGTACAAAGGCACTAGATGGTTTTCTCTACCCAGGCACCTTTCCTTCCCACTTAAGAGACTGTACATTTCAAAACACACCACGAAAATCTCCGCAAGGTGTGCTGCCAAGCCAGGCAGTGGGAGAGTCGCGGAGTCATCAGTTTGCCTCTTCCTGGGGGTCTCGGAGACCCTCAGTCTAAAAGCCAACACGACGTGGGGGGGGGGGGTGTGACCTGGGCTGCTCCCTCTCCCCCCAACCCTTCCCCTAGAGGGGAATTCCCCTGTGGTAGCTAGCTGCTACTCACCAGACTAGGGAGCACAGAGAGAGGCAGGAGACCAGGGCCAGGGCCCGCTGGTACTTCTTCATCTTCTCCTCCTTCTTCCCCCTGCCAGAAGGCGGCACATCCTCCCGGGAGCCGCCAATGCCGAGGCCAAGATGGAGGAGCTGGAGTACGAGCGCAAGGATGGGACCGAGCGTCCTAAGGGCTATGTCGCCGGCGAAGTGGTTCCTTGACGGCCTGTGTCCCAGTCTCCCTCTCCCAGGACCCGCGGCGGCGCGGACAGGGGCGCTTCACAGGACTCGGGGGACTGTCGCTGTTCGTGCGGTCGCCGGCTCGTCTGCGCCCGCCTCCTCCTGCCGCCGCCGCCGCCACTGCCGCCCCATATCCCCCTCGCCCGCCCCGGCTCTCGCTCCGTGCTGTCGGCGACCAACGGCCGCCGCGTATTCGCCTCTCAACAGCCAATCGCCTGCGGGGCCGCGACACTTCACACACCGCTGAGCTGGAAGGAGACGCGTCATCCACGTCCCGCGGCTCTCCTACCCCCACCAACGTCCGCGCGAGCCACGCCCCCCCCTTACGTCTCAGGCGGAGAAACCGGAGGGAGGAGGACGCAAAGCCCAAGAGCCTAGCGGCCACCGCTCCACCCACCTCAACCCCTCCCAGATACTGGCTCACATTCGGGAAGTCAAAGAAAAACCCTTTGACCCTAAACCTTCCTCCTTAAGCCCCTAAGCCCGCCCTCTCGCCCAGCGCGCTCCGAGTTCATGCAATGCCCATTGGGAGTTGTAGTTTGTTCCCCAGAACCTTCGCTTCCCTTTCCCTGTCCCTCCAAGAATCCACGGTTTCTATGGCGAGGTCTACAATTTCGCTTCTCAACACGAGATTAACTCTGAAATTGTTTCGGTTTTCCAGTTTTGAGCACATTTCATAGGATGACCTAGGCCAACTGAAGAAAAAAAAAAAAAGAAATCTATCCTAATAAAATTTAAAAGGAATTTTCCGGTTTTCACAGGGCTTGGCCAATCGAGACAGGCGCTGATTGGTAGGCGGAAGGGGGCGTGTCAAGTTAGCAGTCATCTGAGTGGATGGCAAGGGCTGCCATTCTCTTCTCAAATTCTTCATTCTACTGGATTCCACAGCTGGTCCTCTATGAGTCCTCAGCGTTGAAGATTGCTTTCTGTCGGGAAGCGAAGCACCCATAGAGGCAGAAACCTTGGGGAGAAGACATACTTTCACCATGCTAAGGTCTGGGTCAAAAAAGTAACCACTCCTCAATCCTTAGTGACCAACAGGGAGCCCAATCCAGATTTTTATGGTTGCTGAAAGGCCCAGAAGCTAATTTAGGGACCTTCTGCCTAAAACTCCAAAATTCCTAAGGGCTTCTCAAGTGCCTCTTGCAAGAAGCTTTCTGATCTTAGAAGGCAGCAACTGCAGAGGAAGAAGCACTGGCCAGCCCGGAGGCGGGGTTTGAGGGGGAGGTCCTGTGAGGGATGTCAGGATAAAGAAAACTTACCCTTTCTGGGCTAGCAATGCTTTTCTTCATCTGTCACCGCTGAGAAATTCGTTTTAGACTCTAACACGAGGAAGTGTCAGAAGTCGCTACAGAAGGGCAGGGTAGTTCTTTTACTAGAAAAGGCATATACAAATATAACCATGTTTCACTTTTTGTCTTGGTTCTCAGGAAGCTCAGAGTGAATCTTCACACCAGAAAACAGTCAGGATGGAGGAATGGCGGTTTCAAATGCTTTTGTGGTGTGGAACATGGCATAGTAACTTTTAATGTGAAAAATGCTGAAAGTTGTTGTTAAGTGCCACGGAGTCGACCTGTATAGGGTTTCTGAGGAACAACTGGCGAGTTTGAACCACTGACCTTACAATTCACACCAACCTTGCAGTTGAGTGCTTATCCTACAGTGCCACATATTTCTAATTACATGGTCATGTTGTTGTTAGATGCTTTGGAGTCAGTTGGGACTCATAGGGACCCTCTGTATAAACAACAGAATGAAACACTGTCCCATCCTGTGCCATCCTCACAATCTTTGTTTCCTCCCAATGTTGCAGCCACTGAGTTAGTCCATCTCATTAAAGGTCTCCCACCTTTTCACTGACCCCCTACTTGACCTGGACTACTGGTGTGGCCTATAGGATAAGCACAGGACTGCAAGGTCAGTTTGAGCCACAGGGTCGACAGTTCAAACTCACCATTCACTCTTCGGAAACCCTAAACTGAGTTGCTGTGACTTAGAACTGACTCCATGGCACGTAACAATAACAACAACTACTTGACTAGTCCTTCCTGGAATATCCAGAGTAGGAAAGAAGTCTCACCTACCTATTTCTTCCAAAACAAATTTGTTTCGTCTTCTGACAGTCCATGGTATATTATTTTTCACCAATACTATAATTCAAGTGCATCAATTCTGTGGTCTTCCTTAGTCATTGTTCAGCTTTCGCATGCATGTGAACTGACTGAAAATACCGTGGCTTGGGTCAGGTGCACCATAGTCTTCAAAGTGATATCTGCTCTTGAACACTTTTGTCATTGCTGTTAAGTGACATCGAGGTGGTTCCAACTCATATCAACCATGAATAGGGTCTCTGAGAAGAGGCTGGTGGGTTTGAACTGTCAACCTTGCAGTTACCAGTCCAGTGTCACAGGTCTTGTGTAGATTTGCCTAATGCAATAGGCCATTTGATTTTTTGACTGCTGTTTCCAAAAGCACTGATAATGGATCCAAACAAAATCTTGGACAACTTTAATCTTTTCTTCATTTATCACGATGTTATTTATTGGTCCAGGTATAAAAATTTTCATTTTATTATGCTTATCTGTTGCCTAATTTTGACCCATGCAATTCCCTTAGGAACCATCTAAATTGAGTTGGTTAGCTGTATTTTCAGGAAACTGAACGATGTGACATAGTGGGTTAAGCCTTGGACTTCTAACCACAAGGTTGGTTGAAACCCACCAACTGTTCTATGGTAGAAAAAAAGCTATCTGTTCCTGTAAAGATTTAGTCTTAGATACCCTATGAAGCAGTTCTACTCCATCCTGTAGGTCACTATGATTTGGAATCAACTTGACAACAGTGAGAGTTTTTAAAAAGAAGGTATACATTGCTAAATGACAATTATTTGATATTCATCATTATGTTGAACACCCTTTTCTTCTTACTCCAGGAATGAGATTATTTAAGTTAGCAAACAAGTGCCCCTCAGCTGATCCTCAGTACATAGTAGTCAAAAAAAGTACTATTAGAATACATGATAATCTAAAGCAGGGGTGGGGAACATCCTGCCCACCAGCCATATAAGCCTGCAAAATCATGTGGTCTGGCCCTGTTAGGCAAACGCAGGAGGGACTCAAAAGTCAATAAATGCGAGAGCTTGTTCCATAGCAATGTAAATTTGTATTAAGTGATGTTATAAATATCCAAATGATCCTTGGCAGAAAAAAAGATTCCCCACCCCTGATCTAAAGTTGTTGGGTGTCCCTGCTGTTCCTTATCCCTCTCAATCCAAACCTACAAGCCCATCCACTTCTTTCCCATCAGTTCCTTGCAATGATCTTTGGAATACATAACTAATACATAGAATTTTTCTTTTTTTCTTCTCCCCCCGCCCCTGCCCACACTTGTAGTTGGGGCTTTATCAATATTGTTGTTAGGCGCTGTCTTAGTTCCTCTGTAACAGAAAGACCACAAAAGTGGACGGCTTTAACAAGCAGAACTTGATTCTCTCTCTCACTGTTTAGGAGGCTAGAAATCCAAAATCTGGGTGCCAGCTCTAGGGAAAAGCTGTCTCTCTCTCTAGGCTTTGGGAGAAGGTCCTTGTTTCCTTTCAACCTATATGGGCCCAGTGTTCCTTGGAGATGTCCATGTGTGTTAGCACTACTCTTCTCTGGGTCTAGGAGATTCTCAGTACAGGAACTCCAGGTCCACAGGACAGGCTCCACTCCAGGCTTTTCTTTCTTGGTGGTACTGAAGTCCTTCCATCCCTGCTTGTTTCTCTTTCCTTTAATCTCTTGTGAGATCAAAAATGCTGCAGGCCACCCCAGAGAAACTCCCTAACACAAGATCAGGGCTATAACCCTAATCTTCCTTGTTAATTTAACAAACACAACCTAATCTTGCCTCTTAAAGAGGTCTGGATTTAAAACACATAAAAAATGGAGGATAATGACATCAGATCACACCATGGGGTGGGGGGTGTGTGATCACAATGTCCCATAACTGCCAAACCACTAAGAATCATGGCCAAGCCAACTTGAAATATAATCTTGGGGGCTGCAATTCAACCCATTGACACAGCTGCCATCAAGTTGATTTTTAACTCATGGTGACTCTATGTGATAGAGTAGAACTGCCCCCAAACAGTTTTCCAGAGTGTAATTTTTACAGGAGTAGAAAGCCAGATTTTGCTCCCATGGAGCCACTGGGTGGAGTCCAACTGCCAACCTTGTGGTTAACAGCCAGGCACTTAGCTGTGGTGCCACCAAGGCTGAACTCACATTTGTTGCTTGCTGTTGTTAAGTGCAAGTAGTCACTCACAGCGACCCTGTATAGGGTTTCCTAGGAGCAGCGGGTGAGTTTGAACTGCCAAGCTTGCAGTCCAATGCTTATCATACAGCACCATACCTCTACATCAACCTCTCTTGAAGTAGAAAATATCCACATCACTTTGATAGTCTATCATCATTTCAAATTTTACATGCATAAATTAGAACTCATTTTCTTTTTTAAATTAACTTTTTCATCTAACTTCCTATTTCTCTTAATCCTTCCTTTGTTCTAGACCTTCCTAGTAGCGCTAAAAGCCTCCAAACTTAAGAGTATGTTGTTATGTAACATGGAGTCGGTTCTGACTCATAGCGACCCTGTACAGGGTTTCCGAGGCTGTAAATCTTTATGGGAGCAGAAAGCCTCATCTTTCTCCCGCGGAACAGCTGGTAGTTTCAAACTGCTAACCTTGCGGTTCGCAGCCTGATTCGTAACCACTACGCTACCAGAGCTCCTTTAATAGTACAGTAAATGCCAAAACAATGGCAAGAAAAGTATAGAAAAATTAAAGCTTGCATAGAATCTGGTTACCAGACCAAGTAACCTCCATCTACCACCTCTTAGCTATACCAAAGTGATTTTCAAATAGAAATTATCTTTTCCCTAGGGAACATTTTTGGCTGTCACAATTGGAAAAAGGGGTGTTACTAGTATCTACTAAATAGAGAACAGAGATACTGCTGAACATCCTACAATACACAGGACAACCTCTACCCCCACAACAATATATCAAAAGTGCCAG